CGGTGCTGCGGCGGCGCGGGGCTTCCTTGGACTCTATACTCTCAGCAGGCACTTCACGGCCCAGCAGGTGGCGCCCGAGCCCACCTTCCCGCCGCCCAGCTTCCCCGCAGGTTACCCCACGGGGAGGATAGGGGTGGAGAAGCTGAGGCCGGAGGTGGTCAGTCTTGTGCCTGGCGCTGAGTGTGCCAGACCACAAGGAGCGCAGTGGGGTAGGCTGGGAGCTGGAAGACCCGCCACCGCGTGCCGCCGCCCCCCGGCGCCTAGCCCAGACTTGCCCGTGTGACGCTGACTAGACAGATTGGCTTTATTCATGGACACGCGGGGGGCGGCCGGACCCGCCCGCCCGGGACACGCTCACACGGGGGGTGGGCGACTCTCCATGCCACAGTCACGACACATGACGCCCGCGCTCGGACCGGGCCGGCTGAGGGAGGGGGCATGGCACAGTCGGGCTCCTAGTTTTGGTTTTTAAAAAAAGATTGTTGGGGTCGATGTGGGAGTGGTGTGGGGTGCTGTGGGGCTGCCCGGAGGCCCGTCCGAGAGCCTCTGTCAGGGGTCGGGGAGGAGGCATCGCTTTGCGATCTTCGTTTAAAAACACATAGAACATGCTACATCCACGCAGACACTGGACGGGATGGGGCGGGGAGGGGCAAGGCTGGTGGGGCGAGGCTCCCAGCCACGGCCGCACCCCCGACCCTGTCCACGCCCCAGGGTTGGACGCGGGCGGGTAGAACAGACAGATGGACAGACACTAACACAGGCTCTGAGGAGGAGCCTCAGAGCGGAAGGAAGATCTTGTATTTGGGGGGAACGGGGAGAAGGACAACCCTGGCTCTAGGGGAGGGCGGGGAGGGCAGGGACAGGGAAGGAATTGTGCTGCTGGTTGGGGGCCGTCCTGGGCCCTTACGCCTCTGGCTCATACTCCTGATATTCCTCCTGCATCAGAGGGATGGGGTTGGAGTAGAGAAGAGCAAAAGGGAGGAGGGGTTGGAGACCAAGTGGTCAAGCTCTGGCCCCGAGATCCCTCCTCATCGAGGAGGAACAGTGCATGCCCCTTTCCTTGGGCAGGGAAGGAACCTGGAAGTTGGGGACAGCTGAGATACTCCTGGGCAGCGCTAGGCCCCTCTACCTTCCCCTCCCTGCTCCCACCTCCTGGGGCCCGGGTTCCAGAAGAGGGAGTCCTGAAGCTCCCTGGCCCAACCTTATCATGCCAAGGACCTCCCAACCCAACTAGGGATGCCCAAAGTCCCACCCAGCCTGCTGCCCCCTCACCTGGGGGGGTTCCTCATAACTTTCCTCTTCTGGATCCATCAGCGGCTCAATCAGCGGCTCTTCGGCAGCTTCCTGGGCCACTTCCTCTGGCTGTGGGTAGAGAAGGGCAGGGCTGGTGAGGGCAGCTTTTGGCTGTTTGGAAGAGTGGGGAAGGCTGGGGGGGGGTTGTAAGTGCAAGGAGAATTTTTTTATTAAATTGTTTATTTGGAGTGTCTTGGAGATGAAACGGTGGTGTGAAGGGTGAAATCCCTCCAAATCACCACTGGAAGCCACGAGTGTGGAGGGAGAGCTGGGCTCTCCATACTCCTCCCCCCAGCACCTGGCAGCTTCCTGCACTTCCATCATTTGGACTGGATGGGATGGGGGGGGATGCAGGGAGCACACTCAGTCAGCTGTTATCTCTAACTCTATGTCAGGCTCTGTGCCGAGCATCGGGACCCCAGAGGTAACCCTGGAGGCTCCGCTGAGCTGGAGGGAGATGGAGGCTCAGGGACAGGGCTGAGCAGGGCCTCTGAGCCACTCCCCTGCCACCTTCTACCCATCCCTCCCCTGGGCCCTGTGTGGCCTGGTTTCTTCGACTGTTGCTATTTTAAGATAAGCTGGAAGCAACAGCTCATGGTGTTGCTTGGATGTGTGAGCTAAGACTCTCCCCTCCCCCTGCATCTGCTGCCCAGACAGGAGCAGACGAGCGGGCATGCATGTGGGGGGCTGCCAGACACATGGCCAGCCACTTGCAGGCAAGCACATGTGTGTGCATAAACATGGGACTGAGCCAGCTGCACACACGGACACACTCAATAGCCTGGGGTACATGTACGGCTGTGCAAAGCCACACATGTGGGTCCCTGGAGGGTTGTCACTGAGAAGGCTTGCCCTGACTGTATCTATGCAGCCCCATTCAGGCAGCTTCGGCTTCTTTATACTACCCGTCTAGGGGGGCCCAGTTTACAAGTCCTGACCCTGCTCATTTCCCCCCTTGTAGAGACAGGTATACCAAGGGCCAGTGGGTAGGGAAATGTTAATTTGCCCCAAGTCACTCAGTTACAAGCAGAAACCAGGGAAGAAACAGTGTTAAAAATCCCAGCTTGAGCACATTTGTCAGGAAATAACCCAAATGTCCAATAATGGTAGAATGGATGTGTAGGTTGTGATCTAGTCACACAATGGAATGCTGCACAAGGAAGATCAACAACAAGAGCAGGGGTGAATCTCTCAGACTTACTGTTAAAGAAAAAGAAGCCAGACACAGAAGAGCATGTACTTTACAATAACATTGATATGAATTTAAAAAACACCCAACTAATTTGTGGTGACAGAAGTCAGGAAGCAGTTACTCTTAAAGGAGGGTAGGCGGGGCCAGGACTGAGCCGAGGTAATGCCAGTGTTCACCCGATGAGTGAGTGCCCCAGACACCTCTCTAGATGCCCTAGATGCCCGAGTCCTGGCCCTGGGGGTAGGTCCTGGAAGGGGACACAAGGTGGGTATTTGGGGGGCTGTTCTTTGTCTTGGACTGACTCCTGGTTACATGGGGGGGTTCCCTTTGTGAAAACTTCATGGAGTTGCATGTTTTCTGCATGTATGTTGTACTT